GCCGCCGTCGCCGCACGGCCGGCCCGTCCGCGCCGACGACGGCACGCGGCTGGGACCGCCGCGTGGGGAGCCCGAGGCGTCCCCCGAGGCGAGGCGCCGGGTGGCGCTCAGCGTGCCCCGGTCTCGGGACTGAGGAGCGCCGGGGTCGCGCCGGCGTGGCCTTATGACCTGAATGACCCGGCGGCGTGCCGGTGCGCCAGACGCGGCGTGCGTCCGCCGTGTAGCCAGAGGTGAGCAGCTCTGTAAACCTGTCGACTGCGGACATCGGTCGGCCCCGCCGCTTGGTGCCAAATGTCGGCCATTGTGAGGCCGCTGAGTATGTGGCGAATGCGGAAGAGTGCCATTCCTCCACTGAATCTCAAGCGGCATTCGAGCGTGGCTCACAGACTATGTGCTTCAGACCCATCCCTGCTGGTGGGTGTATATTGTGACCAGTGCGTAACCCATGCAACTCCTGCAAACCACCATTACGCACACATGCTTCCTGCTTGGCTGTTCCATGCCGATGTGTACGTTTTAGATCACGTGACTTGATGATTACAATCCTAGTCCCGATCTAGCACGAGATCTCCGAATAAACGCCAATTGAAGAAGGCGTCTTGGTAGCACACAAGGGGACCGCGGTTGCCAAGCCCACCCATAAAACCCGACCGGGTTTGTGGAACGTAAACAACGATATGCACGAGACATTACCAGATGATGCGTTCACGGAATCCGCATTCTTGGTGTGTCGCACTTACATCGCCGGTGTGCACTCTGAGGCAGCACTTGCGCTGCGTTCAAACGTTGCCCATTGAGGACAGTTCAACTGCACGTCTCGGCCTAGTCTGCTCATCATGAGGGCGATGTCCTGTAGAGTCTTGCCAACCACCGGCTACCAACCGCTATCGCGCTGCCAGCTGACTGCCATTGAGGACAGTTCAACTGCACGTCTCGGCCTAGTCTGCTCATCATGAGGGCGAGGTCCTGTCGAGTCTTGCCAACCACCGGCTACCAACCGCTATCGCGCTGCCAGCTGACTAGCTGTCTCTGGGGTGCAGCTAGAGTCTTTCAATTTCCTCTGGACTCAGGAGCATTTAAATGGCTTTATGCGTTTCTGTGGCCAGCTGACTGGCGTCTCCGTGACCAGCTGACTGCTGGCGTCAGCTGCGTGAGGCGATCGTGACGCGGCGTCTACTGACTGGGCCGCCTCCCGATGCCGGAGAAGATGCCCGCGATGGAGGAGGTGAACGAGCTGATGCGACTCGTGAACGAGCTGGCCGCGTCGGTCACCTGGCGGACGGGAAACGAACCATTCAGGTCATAGGGCGGGGAGCCAGTCGCCAGCAGTCACGGCAGAGCGCGGAGAACGGTACCAGTCGCATCAATGCTCGTTGCACAGAACTGGAAACGGACAAACCACAACGGCAGGTGTCGGCATCAGTCACACAAACGGTCACGTGATAGGACGGGAAAACAAGCGGATCCGTCGGAGCAGTGGTCATGGGGCAAGCGAGGGAGGTGATCTACTATGTTGACAGGCCATTGGATCTGTCAGGAGGTCGTCCAACGACAACGATTATGGGAAAAGGCAGGGAGATGAAACGAGCATGCGAAGAGCGTGTCGGTTTTGGCGATTAGGGCGCCAAGACTAGGGCGCCACCTGTCGGCGGCGGCGGCCGCTCACCCTCTGCCAGGGCGCCGTCAACGCGTTGAAGCCCTGCACGAGCCGGTTGGTGTCCAGATCGAGCAGCGCCTCGCTGGACGAGATGCAGTTGTTCTGGCTCACCGGCTCAAACTCGTCCTCGATTTGGTTGGTGATTAAGGCCTCGCTGACCTGCGGGTCAGGGGCAGGTCAGTGACCTCGGTCACTTCGGTCGCTGGAATCAATAAAGGGCCGCCCGTCTCTGCCGACAGACAACACTAGCCGGAGCGTAGGCGACACACCGTTTTCTTGCGGTGGTTGTCGAGTCGCCTCCACAGATGGCGCTGGGCTCCCGGGATATATCAGACGATTCTCCCATTGGTTGTGCGATGCCTGAACCCACGGCACAAACAGTACCATCGGGCACGATCTGACGAAATGAGCGTGTATGAAAACGAGCAACACACAAACACTGAAGCAGAATGTTTGTTTATAGAGTCGGTTCAAAATTCCTGAAACCACTACATGGCCGCATATTCCAGCAAGGCATGCCCGTGACAAGCTGTGGCTTTCACATCGACGAAGCTTCACTGCAATGATTTTTTGTCAGAGTCGGACTGCGAGTCGGCCGAGCTGCCACAAAAGCTGCAGCTCAAAATAACATTGAACGACGACAACAAAGAAATGCAGCAAACAGTCAACAGCAACGCGCAACAACTGCACCACGGAGCCACGCAGGCAAACAGTGGCACAGTCAACAGTAGCGGACAACAACTGCACCACGGAGTCACGCAGGCAAACAGCGGCACAGTCAACAGCAACGGACAACTACACCACGGAGCCACGCAGGCAAACAGCGGGCGCGTCCCCGCACAGTGTCAGGAGCCGCCGTCACCAGAACGTGGCACGCCGCGTGGGGCGGCGCCGCACCTTGTCGAGCTGGGCCAGGCTGAGCGTGGCATTGCGCCGTCGGCTCATCACGTACACGTCGCGCCGGTGGAAGAGCGGCAGCCGAGCGAGCCGGACCGTCTCGCACGTGAACACGGCCGCGTACGACTCGTAGTCGGTGGTGAGCACTGTGTAGTCGGCCACGCGCGGACCTGCCGGCGGAACACCACCGGGAAAGGGGAGATGATGGGGGTGCTGTGTAGTCGGCCACGCGTGGACGGCCGAGCACAACCGGGAAAGGGGAGATGATGGGGGTGCTGTGTAGTCGGCCACGCGAGGACGGCCGAGCACAACCGGGAAAGGGGAGATGACGGGGGTGCTGTGTAGTCGGCCGCGCGTGGACAGCGGGGCACGGCCGGGGTAGGGGAGATGACGGAGGTGCTTTGTAATCGGCCATGCGCTTACCTGACGGCGGGGCACGGCCGGGGTTGGGGAGATGGCAGAGATGCTTTGTAATTGGCCATGCGCTCACCTGACGGCGGGGCACGGCCGGGGTTGGGGAGATGACGGGGGTGCTGTGTATTCGATCTCTTGTGGAAGACAGCACAGCCGGGGTAGGGGGACGGTGTCGGTGTCGGTGTCGGTGTCGGTGTAGGTGTCGGTGTCTGTGCCGATGCCGGTGTCGGTGTTGGTGTCGGTGCCAGTGTCGATGCTGGTGCCGGTGCCAGTGTCGGTGTCGGCGTCGGCGTCGGTGTTGGTGTCGGTGTCGGTGTCGGTGCGTAGAACGAAAAAGAGCACCGCTGTTAGAATCAACGGGCCAGTTTCAATGGAACGTACATGATGTATGACTGTGTAAAAGGCGTTTTCGGGAAGGAATAATTTCAAAGTCCGTGAGTGCATTTTGTTCACTGCCCTACGGAGAAATTGAGTGGAGCGTTGGCTAGCTGGAAATAGCAGCCCTCGTTCAAATGCGGCCTTTTGATCGACGGAGACTCCGTCAAACATGTACGCCGTCGCGTTTAACGAAAATAAAACGAAGCGAAATACATGTTAACAAAAGCCGATTCGAAACTGAGCGGTTAAAGCAAATGAAGAGGCGCTGAAGATCTAGTTAAATGGCCAAACCACAAAAAACGCTCAGATAGACACTTGGGCACCGCAGTCATCATGACTAGCTCAAGAACAGGCGAGTTGAAAGGCTGAAGTCGACTTGCTGTGCTTCTGATGACACCAGTTACATCCGCTGCCTGCAGAGTAAGGGAGGCGGACGGATGTGGCATGGCTTCCAGCTTTGCTACACTTCCCTTTTCCTGCGATGTGCGTAAAATTTCCCCAAAAATGTTTGTAAGTGCTGGCATGGTGTCAGAAATGAATTAAACGAAACTAGGACCCCTCTTGCCAACGCCTGCTAGCTTCTGTATCACCGGCAGCACAAATGTCATCACAACAGCTTCGGCGGCGGGGGTCCGTCGAACTGGGGTCGCGTCCAGACCCCGTCTCGGCCTCCTCGGGACCAGCGGCGGGGGTCCAGCGGCTCGGGAGCCGGCCCAGCTGTGAGCCCCGTTTGTCTGTTGAGCCCACAGACAGTCACCGCCCCCCCCCCCCTCCCCCGAGGTTCAGGAGGACCCCGGCACGTGTGTCGCTATGTACCCGGCGCCCTCTGACCTGGGGACGAAGGTCAGACGGGTTAGCGGACTCACAGCTGTCCCACGCGTCTGGCAGCACGCGATCGAGTAGGTTCTCAGAATCAGCATACCTCCCATGACGGGACATGGCGCATGCGATGAGACAGGTGTGACGGTGGCTGCGCCAGAAGCGTAGTCTCGCAAAATGAATTGAGACGGGGGACTGAACAGAGAATAATTGTCTTGTCTTAAAAAACGCTCGCCTCCAAGAAATGCCAACAAACGGGTCTGGCTGTAGATTTGGCTCACTTTGCTCTGAACATGGTGGGATGAATATCCCCCAGCAACTGAATGGGAAACTACACTCCTGGTCGTATCAATATATCCAACTCAATGAAATTTGAACTTTTTTTCCTGTAGGAACATGCTTGTTCGACTAGCCATGCGGTAGCCACATTTTTGGCACATGCGCAATAGTAATATAGCTCAAGAATAGCGCCATAATCAAGGACGTGATAACAAGAAAATTTCTTGAACCCATGGGTAAACATGCTACAACACCCCGAAAAGGGCCAAAACACGAGCACATGCAGATATTTGGTTCAGCGAACAATTCGAGTATCGCCACTGATACTTCTCGGCGAGTTGAGGTGCTGCATGCTAGTGCTGAGGCGGTAATTTGGCGCCGCCAGCTTGGCAGTACCTCGACGTCGTGCAAACGTTCCACGACGTAATTAAGCAGTGCCGTATTGAGGAGCATATTAACTAAATAGAGACATTTTGTCGTTTAGAGCAGTTTTCTCCAATTAAAAGTATATAAATGGTCAAAGTGATCTCATTTCATGACATCTGATGCTTCATTATCTTCGCATGTGGAGCATTCCCTTTAAAGGGAATGTTTCACGTTTGAAGACATTGAAGCAAGCAACAGATATGATGAAACAAGCTATTTTTAACGACTGATGTACTTTGAAGCAGAAAGGACTGCTCTAGACAGCACAATTTATTCGTTTAGGAAATATGCTTATTGATACGTCATTGCTTGATTGCGGCATCGCACCTTGCACAAAATTAATTGAAAACCAAATGACGGCTGTTATACCTGAAAATCGTGCTCACGAACGCCAGATATAAATAACTCGATCATAATATTTATATTGGCCTTGATCGCCACGTGGCTTCTGGAATGGAGGATTCAACATCCTGGCGCCTCATGGTATCTTGAGTGTCGGTTATTTCCAACATCAGAACCCAGTAACGCTGCGCGTGGCACGGTCCGTGTGTCCGGCGATACACGCGACGGCGGACGAGGAGACAGGGCGACAGCCGGCCACCAGGCTGTGCACTGGTCACCCCGGCACCAGGCAAATCACCGGAGCCTTGCTCCTCACGTGGCCGATACCCACCCTCGTCAGAAAAACAGCCGGGTGAACCCGAGCCCCATAGCAAGGGCCATGTCCCTTTGTCCCCTTGTCGGTGATTTCATTTAGATATCCCAATTCACAGGTTACCCTTTTAGCGGTGGCAGACGGGTGCAGTACAAACAAGCTGGCGGTGGTTTGTTCACGGCGTCCTCCGATCTGCTAAAAGCTATAAAAACAGGGTTGCCGCGGTCCCGGCGGCATGGAATCGGGGCCCGACATAGCGATGCGAGCATTTTGTCAACACTAGTGAATTCTGGCACGTATCTTATACGTTGAATCTGATACTAGTGCAGATTGCAGCAAAACCGTGGCACGTGGGCCCATGGTGGTGGTGCGACATGCAAACACACTGGTGCGGCAAAATGTCCCTACGTATCCGTCTATGTTCATGTTGCGTGTTCACTAGAAACTTTACAGGCGCACTGCAAGAAACAGCTGTCCTTTGCATGAGGAAATATGGTCAGAAGGACGAGAATGAAGCCATACAACATATCCGTTAGAGGTATAATCCAGCGTGGAGTGCAGCATGAAATAAAATTGATTGCGGGAATGTTGATGACCTTTACGGTATAATTTATGCTTACAAGCTTGTCTGTACTGAAGATCAATGCAACTCTAACTCCGGCTCAAATTTTCTCATGCGTTCCACCATCCAGGTTAGACAATGCTACTGCCGGTCATATGTATATTTCACATACTGCATAAAGGCAGCGAGTCGATTGTACCCAACATATGGAGACCAATATTAAAAAAGGCTTAAGGCGCATCCCCAACAATGGTACCTGCAATTGGCAACAGCATGCAAACGCAAGGTTAGCAAGAAAGTAAAAGGGCATAAGTTATCAAGAACCGGAGGGGTACTATTTCCCGTCACTAAATGTGTTGTTCTCCTCAGCGTCCGACTTACTGTCAGCGAAGTTGGCGGTCATTCGAGCCGCGTCGCCACTGGGAGACTTCAGCTCCCCCTTGGTCTGGTACACGTTCGAGAGGCCGATGTTGCTGATGAGGTTGAGCTGCTTCTGCTCCTGCACAAGCATGCAGTGGGCGCCGCACTCGGTGTAGCTGAAGCTCATGCACGAGGAGTCCGGGTCGAAGTTCTTCACCACGTACCAGTCGCCGAGAAACTGCGGTGGTGGACGGGGGGTCAGGGTCAGCGAGAGGCCAGACGAAAACCGTCGGAAACGGTGAGGTGCAGCGCGGCGGGGGTGATACAGCGTGACCCCTGGCGTCACATCATGGCCGTGCTTCCGGGCCTCTGAATACTCGACTGCATCTCGCACCGGTATCAGTCGCCGCAACCAAGTGACGCTTTAGCGGACTTGACGATTACATACTTCGAACCATCAGATGTATTAGCGCAGACATGTCTGTGGCAACATGCGAGACAGCGAAACACTGCATGAAACCGGCCGACGGAGATGGCGCCCTGATGCAGCCCTTCTGCGTGAGAGGATTCCGCACCACCCACGGCGTCCACCGAGCGCCGGTGAGCTGCGGCCCAGGCTGCAGTGCAGGAGGCGGCTGGCCGGCTGCACCCGCGGCCAGGGCTGGGTCACGCGGGCTCGGAGCGGCGGCCAGGCTGCCAGGTCAGTGGGCCGACGTGTGGCAATGAAACCCGGGATACACTCGACGATGGTGATCGTAACGTTATGGCTCACGGACTTTAGGTCATGTAAGCCTAAACCCCAGCCAGGAGCAGTGAGGGATTACACGATGTGATGGGGAGAAGAGCAGCCACCGGTTGAAATAGTATTCTCCTATATCTCCTATTTTCTCCTATATTTTCTCCTCTATCCCTCAAAAGTTACGGCGTAGTGATAGATGTCAGCTAACACAGAGGGCTGCGGAGACCACACAGTGCGGCACAAGGATTCATTATTAGCACACGTAAGTTACCAAGCCATTTGCGCGACAAATACACCTACGGGCGTCTTGTAACCAGTTGGAGGTATGATCGTAAGCTGTTAAAAATGGATCATCCGTCAAATTATTTTCGTGATGTTTCAAGGGTGGTGAAATTAGATCTAAAAACTAGCAAACAGGGTAAACATGACATAATTTAGGTGGCAGCATAGCAATTCGGGTCATGCGGTACTGTTAGTTCGGAAACTACATAGAGACGGGAGCAGCTGCCCAAAAGTATGCAATCATATATTGCACACGCAGATAAGTACAAGGCATTCCTAACCTCGAGTCATGAGTAACACAAACGTAGAAGGCCTCTTCGCTCCGTGCTGTGTGCAATGTAATACCCGTTCCGTGCCCGTCCGTACCGTCCCGTGTCGGCACAGTCCGAACGCCGGAAACATTGGCAATCCTGGAGCATTTCCCAGTCTACCTTACGTGTAAATCGCTTTTCATTTTCAAGCAGCTTTACGGTAAAGTACAGATGCCGTAGCAATGCCCGGGTCATGCTGTAGCAGCATGCCATACAACATCAAATCGGTCGATAAAGCAGGAACACGTGTTCGTGGCCGCACCGGTCCCTGCAGAGCCGGGTGTCGAGGCATTACCGGTGATCTGGAACGTTACGCGGAAGATACCGGTCGGTGAAATCAGAAGCTGAGGATTTGGTACGCAGACAAGCGTCTGAAATTTAAATGGTAATCCCGAATTCCATGGAATTATTCGACGGTAGGATAGGATCCTAAGTCGCGGTGTCCGTTTTACAGATACAGGCGTTGACACGCGCCTGCTGGAGGATCAGCAGATCTGACCGGTGACCGTTCTGGCTTGGCCGTGGATTCCTTGCACTGGGTGCCCCCTCCACATGCAGAAGAATGAGGTCGACGCCCTCCCCCTCGCCGGCTCCACCGCCACACCAGTCGGCGATTCCGCCCACAACCGGTCAGCTAACCGGACCTGCGACGGGGCTGCCCCCTCCCCCTCCCCTCTCCTAGTCGGACCGGCCTCGCCCGTTGTACGTGTGCAGCGTTCAGCCAGAGCAGCGTGGGACGGGCTTTCTAGGTCAGGCTTTGAGGTTGATAAGCAAGCCGGCGGCAGTGGTCAGCCGTGGTCCGGTTTGTGATCACTTGACTAGTCGCAGAATTGAGGGCAGCTCGGAAGATTCGAGGAACCTTCAACAAGTTCTGGGAAGAACATCGTGAAAGCTCGTTGGAAATCTAGAGAATCTTGAGCGCCGTTATCATTACGGGCATGGTAAGGATGCATTAGAAGACATCGCATGATCCCATTGTTTTTATTATTGAAATGCCGACGCTATGTGTAGCCTTACTAAGGTGACCGATGTCACCCGAAGAGCAAACAAGCCTCGAACCATAAACACAAAGATAGGTGAATGGAAATCATCATATTAAAAAAAACAACTGACGAAGTAAAACTGTGCTGGCCGCGCATAGGCTACCCGAGACACACTGTTACCTGCTCTCCGGGCAAGCTCAGCCTCTTTGCCGCAGAGCCAGAGCACCATTGTCCATCGCTCACGTAATCGGTGAGCGCCGGAACTACGAGACTGAACGGAACCGTGACCCCAAACGAAATCACATTCTCCAGGCCTGTCTGTTGGGTGATCCGCCGTCGATCGACATTCGAGCAGTTTTTACCTTCTTCAGTGGCATTGACTACGACCTTTTATATTGACCGACCTAAACAACTGGAAGGAAAGGGAAAGGAGGGATAAATGTATTACGCAGATCTCATACATCTATCTCTCCTTCCTCCTGGTTATTCTACGGGAGGAATAAGGCTAACAGCACTGTCACATCTATGTGTATAATATTCCTCGTAAATGCACTGAGCAACACAAAACATTTTTGACAAAGCAACGTTAAGCATAACGTGTAACTCCGCAGCATGTGGAGACTTGCCCCGTCGCCACTCTCGCGGGGACCCTCATGGTGACGAGGCCCCGCGAGTCCACCGTAAAGCAGGGTAAGTACTCTGCTCGAGCACGCTGCACGTGTGTTCTCGGGAGGTGCGTGCTCTCGCGGGGACCCTCATGGTGACGAGGCCCCGCGAGTCCACCGTAAAGCAGGGTAAGTACTCTGCTCGAGCACGCCGCACGTGTGTTCTCAGGGGGTGCGTGTACACCTCCAACGGTGTCAATCGCTACGTAACACCACGCACTATGTACTTGGGCATCATCAATTTTAATTATCATGTGATGCGAGTGACGATGTAATACGCGCAAGCTAGATAAGCACGCTCGTCTGCCATAGGACACCTCTAAGACCCACGTCGTTTCGTGAACAGCGTGTTCTATGGGACTTCTGTGATGTCATTCGCTAATAGGACGACCAAGCAGTTGCATCTTGCCGATAATGACGCACCGATTTCGTGCACTACCTCCTCAAACATACACGGAGCTTGATCATTGTATTTGCAGTGGAAAGTGAAGCCCTCTCGCGGGGGTAAGCAGCACAGCCAGGATTTCCCTGAGGGGAGCGACCGGAACTCAGTAAGCGTGCGTTACGCGAATTTTGACTGTCTGTCCAAAGCCCTCTAGCCTTGTTTATCATAAGTCTTTTTTCTGTGAAAAAAGCGGGCCCGAGGAGGAAGGGCGGGGGTGGTTCCTTGGACCCCTCATTTGACTGCGCTTCATCCGGGGCTCATTTGGTTTCATAACCTCTTGAATAAATGTCCACACGAACACCTTTTTACGAAGATGCGCAGGAACATGAAAGTCGTCTCCCTCAAAAAGCAAAGGCTTCTGTAACACCTCAGGCAGCGACAGGGTGGAAGATGTCTCATACCGATACCATGTATGTAACGCAGTGATTGTTGTTCAGAATTGTGAAGGTTTCAGACCAAGGAGCATTTGGAGTTGGTTAACACGACACTATGACATGCGAGCCAGCCATATGGAACTCATATAAGTCATGTGACGCTTGGCTTATATAAGTCGTTGCTTATATAAGTCACGCGAGGCCAACCTGATTGCCTTGCAGGGATGTCACTTTCCAAAATCGTTTGAGGGCTCAGCCGAAAAGTTGAACCAGCCCCCAAATCCTGAATTCGCGCTGGATTTCGGCTTCTTAAGTGTGTGCCCTTGATGCAGAAATAAGAAAGCTTGTGTTGATATTACGTTGGTTTACAGTTCTTTCCTTTTGAGAAGTGACTTCCATTTCGAGTTGATGCGACCCACCTTTTTATGTGAACAATTTGCATTGGGCGTTATTGAAAGAAAAAAATATCCTTCTCAATCTTAGTGAGAACTGATTAGGACTGGACTGAGGACTGATTAGGCTGATGACTGTAGCTGTCGCTGATCGTGTTGTTTAACCACCATAGCTACAATTATGCGACGAACCCATTTGCCACTGTTAAGGAATGCATGCGTGAAATTTGCTGCCGCATATTGCAGTCATTTGTTCTCGATCTCAATCTAGGCGCTGCCACTTGAAAACTTGCCTAACATTTGCAGACTGGCTTAACAGATGAAGGAGTTTGCATTATTTTTATAGGACCTTGAGAGTAACAAAAGGTATTAGGTACCCGCAGTATACCGTCTTGTACAAACTGGACATGATATTAATAATCTGCATGATTTGGTCATGTACCTACTACCAAATACACCAATAGCTAAGATAACTGCTCTGTATTTACTAAGTCCGGCATTTCGTCTTTGTTCATATACATTGAGGGGTTTCAGAGGAGCGATTTGGGGGGTCCAGTCAGCATGGGGGGCTCAGAAGTGACGCTCCTGTAACTTCAGGTCATCTACGTACGATAAATCAAAATGCATTTACGTCTCTGTGTGACGCTGCAGTTATGAACACAATTATTAAGTCGCCGTGCTAAAAATGTGGCGCACTTGCACTCACACCCTCGCATGTGCATATCTTATCCGGATCGAAGTTTATCACCGTGCAATTCGGCGCGGGACACATACCTTATCCGGATCAAAGTCTATCACCGTGCAATTCGGTGCGGGACACACACCTTATTCGGATCGAAGTCTATCACCGTGGAATTTGGCGCGGGACACACACCTTACCCGGATTGAAGTCTATCGCCGTGGAATTTGGCGTGGGGCGCACACACCTTATTCGGATCAAAGTCTATCACCGTGGAATTGGACGCGGGACACCCACCTTATCCGGATCAAAGTCTGTCACCGTGGAATTCGGCGTGGGACAGCTGCCTCTGTGATTGACGGCACCTCTGGCGATGCCGATCAACAGAAGCACCAGCCACAGAGCTTGCACAGCGGTGGCCATTCTGCGAACTGAAACAGACGATCAGAGCACTGAGTATAGCGCGTGCCATTGGATTTGTCCCTCGCTGAAACATACAACACACATAAACACGAAGGCAGCGTGGAGTCCAGCTTCAGCAAGAAAAGTGAACGACAAAAGACTGCAAACTCGGCTTTGTGCAAGCTTTGGCAGCCAGCTAGGCTTGCATAAGTCCTATCGCGCTAAACACTGCGGGCATTGCTGATTGTGCATTACCAACATGAAAGACGCAGGAGCAATGTTCTGCTGTTACGTCCTCTGCTCTTCAATCCGGACACATACGTGCACCACAGAGGCTGTTTATTAGGTTGTATAGAGTCTATGAAATGAACAACAGGCGCCCCGCGCCCCCGAAGCACCAACTGCACGAGTTCGGCCTTTATCATGACCGTTCCCAGCTAGCTTAAGTTGGAGACTGATTGGAGTGTTACTGGGGCAACGGGTGGGCGGACTCTAGCCGATCACGACTCGTGATCTTCGTGTCGCCCAGCAAGGTGGCATCCCGCTGGTTTGCAATGCTCGTTTCTGTCTCATGTGTTCCGCACTTGACGTCTGACGCAGTTATGCATGTTAGGCTGCCATGGGCTGCAGATCAGTGCGAGGTTATGAACAAAGTCTAGCATGGGCCTAAATCTGAGCAACCAGAATAATCAGCACGTTCAGGCAAATCCGGATTTCGACGCCACCGAGTACAGTGTGCACCCCTCGCACCCCGTGCACCCCGCGTGCGCCCTACATGCGGTGTGCATGCGGGGTGCACAGCAGTGCTGCGGCTGCAAGTCGGCCCCCACCAGCCCGATTTTTCCTCTCGGAGGACTCCTGGTTGCCTGCCGCATGCCCAGCTAGTCATGCACACTAGCAAAGAACAGAACGGCGCCAACGCACAGTGACAGACTTCCACCGGAGTGGAGATAAGGCGACAAGGAGGCCGACAATTTACGCAAATAGGCTATGAGGAGTGAAACGTGTAGAACACACTTCTCAATCACCCGACTGGCGGCCGCTTCGGACTGACCTGGAACGATGTATTTTTACCGCTTCAGTAGCAAATCTACCAACCCACTCTTTTCCCTGTCAAACAGAGACTGCCACTCCAGCGTCCGCTCCAGCTGACCAGTTCTCGGTCCGGCGCTGGCTGTGACGGCTATGGCTTTCGTCACGCCGGGCGGGCGCCGGCTGGGAATTGAGTGACGGCCTGTAAGCAGGAGAGCAAGCGGATTCTCCGGCAGCAGAAGACCGGTAGTGCACGGAAGTGACGGAGCGAGCCGCGTCCAGCACAGCCGTGTAACCTGCCCGCAAGCCCGCAGAGCACA